AGATTGACATAGGCCGCTAGTCTCTAAGCATGCTTCTCGGCCCTTGATTATGGATTTCAATGTCATCCATCGACTTGGATTGCACACCGTTATCTACCACCGATACATGAACTTCATCAATCGCCGCAAGAATGTTAAGTGTGGCTATCAATCGGGGCTATTTAAGACCCGCCACCGGCATTGAGAGCCATGTGCTATCGTTTTTGGCATGCACGCTATTTTGAAAACATATCAGTCACACTCTTATCGATTCACTGCATACTAGGTCGTCGTTGGAGCCGTGGTCTCGTTAGAAAGAAGCGCCAAGGCCATATTATCAGAATTGGGCAGGTCGTACAAAATTTTTATTATCATAACATTTAGCATTTATCAACGGCATCTCTATCCCGCCTAAGCAGGTAGCTACAGATTTCATCCGAGTCGAGACGAACCTACTCAAAATAAGACGCTAATCGCTACTTCCAGGGAGTATGGAGTGGCGCGATGTAGCTCGGACGTTGATATTGGCATGAACGCAAGTCTTCGGGACTTTCGGCAACTTGAAGTTTGTTTACTTTATTTTCACGAGGTACTCTGGAGTCTGTTTGGCCGAAGAAGAGATCATCGCCGGAAGAGTATCAACTCAGAAGCTTACCTAACTGGCGTAAATTTTCTCCTTTTACACCTCTAACGCTGCTAAAATATCACTGCTTTTAGCGGCTTGCTCGCTCCCGACTCCAAGAATACATTCTTTCAGGTTGTTTGATCACTTTGCCATGTAACAGCAAACAGTAATGTTTCGTTTTTCAACTTCCCTGGTTTCTTCGTAGAAACTATAATCCACCGTAAATCTTGATTAAGTTATCTGCCTCGCGCCTTAGAATGCGAATCCGATCTCTTTAAACTTACGTTTGCAAATTTCAAGGACAAAGCCGTCGATCTTCAACGTAAAATTCCAACCGGACTCCGACAACCCCGCCGTCGATATCGGTCTCCGACGCCCTCCTCAGCGTCTATAAGTTGGTACAGCGTGAACAAACGAAAAGTCCCTGTAGCCTGGAATTGATGGTGTGTGGCTGCTCACGCCTTTTGAATACTCAGCCACTGACATCTTCAAGTTGAAGGGCCTGGGTAAAGATGGCCTAATATAGTGATGGATACTCATTGAAAGTTGGGGTCCTGACACTGTCAGTTCGATGTAGGTTGTATGCATTTGGCGCTGCGGATCTGTTCTATCTGTTCCTTAAGATTCTCCACTCCAAGAAGGTCCGGCCAATGCCAGTGATTCAAGAGCTTACTCTCCGTCTTCACTAGCTAGATCAATGCGGGACGATCTATTACCTTCGTAAATTTTATTTCCTCATGGTCTACCTGGAGTTCACCTCAATTTCACTTCTGCATTCTTAAACTCAAACACTCCCGCGAAACTAGCCCGATGAATAATAAACCAAGGCCATGCCGTTCAACATTCGATCTTGGTAAACATTAGCGCTTACTTTCGGGGAAAGATATTGACATGATGGGATCTCTACAACTATATAGACGGTCGCATAAATACGTGCAAGGTCATCTGGCTCTGTGTTCACTATCCCTAGCTCACTTCTCTCGCCATCGGTAAAATTATGGGTGTCTCTGTCACTTCAACGAAGAAATATTCCGAAGATGACCTTCCTGAATACACCCCCATGCCATGGTATGTTGCGCTGACCGTTTTAATCACTGTAATTCATATTAGTTATGACAGGTCCTTGCAGGAAATTCGTGCCGCCATTCCGACTCGCTTATTTGTCCGTAACACAACGAGAGGCATTGAGTATCTAGCAAGAGATATATTTTTAGCCTCTGTCGCGTGGTATCTCGCGACGCACATCGACGCGAACCTGAAACAATCAAGCGTTCAATACCGCATTACGTTCTTGGGTGCCGAGATTTGTCGTTGGACGCTGTGGTGTATCTAGTGAGTCATTTTAATTGATCATACCCCATTACGAATAATTTAATTATATTTTGATCTATAGTTGGTGGTTTCAAGGTCTGATATTTACTGGAATCTGGGTCATCGGCCACGAAGTACAGATTTTTATATCATATTTCGGTATTTTCTGACTTGCGCTTCCGTTAGTGTGGACATGGCGCATTTTCTAATCACAAGATTATTAATGATACAATTGGTTTCGTGTGTTCTTTCGCTGAAACGTACCTCGCTCCACCGCTGAAGATATTTACCAGATTACTCACACATTTCTATGGACGCCCTACTTTAGCTGGAAAATTTCTCATCATCGACATCACAGCAACCACGCCTCTATGGAACGTGATGAAGTTTATGTCCCCAAAACCCGCTCTGATCTCGGGCTACGGAGGGAGGGAGATCCAAAATTGGACTATGAGGAGATACTTGGAGATACCCCGGTCTACACCCTTTTCATGCTGATCCGCCAGCAAGTGCTCGCTTTTCCTGCATATCTCCGTAAGGCTCTCCTCCATTTAAAAAAAAGGCTAACTAACAAACGTACGACGGCCAGTCTTCAACGTCTCTGGCCAAAAGGCGTATCCTAAATGGACCAATCATTTTGATCGTTAGTACCATTTCAACTTTTTGTTTCACCTTTACTGATTATTCCTTTGCACCAGCCAACTCAATTTTATTCACCAAAACACAACGCAATGCTGTTCTTATGTCTAATATTGGAATGGCACTCATGGTATGGGGCGTCGCGCATTATAGCTCTGTGTGGGGTGCTTCAGAAGTCGTCAAATACTATGGTATTCCCTGGCTTGCGGTCTCTCACTGGTGTGCGTACCTATAAGTTATCAGTTTTGGCGACAGCCACCCTAACTTACATATTCCAGTCATTATGATCACATATCTCCACCACACAGACCCAATCATGCCGCACTATCGCAATAAAGAATGGAACTTCCAACGTGGGGCTGCTGCTACAGTCGATAGACCCTTCCTAGGCTGGCAAGGGCGCTTCTTCCTTCATGATGTCGCCCACTTTCATGTTATCCATCACGTTAGTCCTCCTCCCGTCTTCATATATTTGGATCCACGAACTCGGCTGATGATATGCACTTTAGTTCTTTCCAAAGATGCCTTTTTATCACGGACAGGAGGCTACTCAATACTTGAAGACGTTCATCGGAGATTATTATGTTTCTTCCGATGTTCCTTCGTTCAAGGCACTCTGGGATAACTATAATTTCTGCCAGTTCGTTGAGGACGAAGGCGATGTCTTGTTCTATCGTAACAGGAGAGGTCATGCTGTCATTAGACCTGCTGATCCATATCGCGTTGATAGCAGGTATAAAAATGAATAGAGGAAGAGGAAGAACTTGTACATTATGCACATCTTATTTCGAGGCCGGATAAACTTATTAGTGTATCATATTTTTGTTTATATTGTATGTTTCGATCCCGCTCATCTGTAGGCTGTCATGTCGTTTATCCTACAGTATACTTACTAACAGTAATTTTCGTAATCGCCACATACGTTTATTCTTGTTCCTTACTTTAAGATGATATCTGGGGTCCTAACTAAATCAGATTTTCTGTCTCTGCATTCCAGTTTAAGTAAATCAACAAATCCGTATCAGTGATCTAGTGTTCATATACTACTTACCGATGAACAGCCCAGGAACGTGTTCTTGGGATGACTACAGGCGTTATCTATTTAGCGTAGTGGACATTATCCGCGACTCGGATCTTCAAGTCGTTCCCCATGATCAGCTTCAAAGCTTCAAATTTCTAAAACGCAGCATACCAGCATCACTCCAATTCTACAAATGATAATATCAGGCACATATTCCGACTATCATAATATTAGCGCGAACTGACATGTTTTTAAATTTTGACCTAAGTAGCAGAAAGGAACGATCTATTACTGTGAAATAGTTTAGATCCATCTAGTTCGCGAGTGCTACATGCTACATCCGCCACCGGTCATATATCACCGGACCTTGACCCTTCCAAATAAATCAAGACACATCGTTTCATGTCAATGATAGTACAGCGGGTCTAGAGCAAGTAGATTTCCGATATAAAATGGATGCAAAGAGTGGTGCCTAGCACTCAGGCCGGGGTCCTTGAGATTTAGATTCTCCAGAATAAGAGATCCTAGGATTTGAGAAACATGACGACTAAGAAATGGGTTTCCACGATCGCAAGTTAAAAGCTCTTAGCCTGTGCAAGACTTTTAGCAATCTTATTCTACTAGTAATTGATTATAGAATAAAAGCAGTAAATTTATAGTTTAATCAGTCTCAAGGTACATATGCAGAGCATGCAACAATATATTTCTGTGTAGATATAAACAATTTCTAGGACTCTTTCGCTCACAGGCTTCAAAGTGAAAGTCCAGAGATGAATAGAAGTTAAGCGGGCCCGGTCGGTAATATGCTATTAATAGTTGCTGCTCGCTTGCCAAGTTTTTTTTTTCTCGACCTCCACCCGCTCTTCAGAACTAGACTGTTTACTCCTTCTTGCAGTCTCCCGGCTTCTACCGAGATATTATGAAAAACAATTCTACAGCTTCTGAATGTACTCAGGAAATAGTACAGTATATCGAGTTTGAATATTATAAGATTCAAAAAAGAAGATATTTTCTTGAGTTTCCGTCTTCCTCAAGCAAATTACTCTCTTCACGTTAGGGTAAAACCATTGAAAAGAAGATCATAGTCCTTCGAACCGGGGTCGAACCAGTGACCTTGGGATGATTTGCGTATCCATTACAGTCCCACGCTCTTCCAACTGAGCTATCGAAGGCTTGTTATCCACCTGAGGGAGTGCATTTCTTGTGTGTGGAGCCGAAGGCTGGAAAGAAACGTTTCCAAAACTATGATCAGCAGACCCTCGAAAATTGATTAACTAAGGACCAATACAATATAAAGGACATAGTGTGCAACTAGTATATATAATGGAACCTTAAGAAACCAAAACCTGATGCACAATCCAAAAAAGTAGAGCCCTTACTAATTATTATTCAGCCTCTACAAAAATCTTCTGCATTCAACAATAGTCCTTCAAACCGGGATCGAACCAGTGACATCGGGATGATTTGCAAAGTAACCAATTACAGTCCCACGTTCTTCTAACTGAGATATCGAAGGAATGAAGATTAGGAGGAAGAGACATGCATGTGCTGGATATATGGGTAGACTTGGTAATGTAGAGTCAAAAGCACCCGGTAAAATTGTTGGAGAAATGAGTCTGTGATGTTGTACTTGTCCTGCCATTAGGTAGGAGAAAGGAAAGATGAGATGTAACATGGTGTACCGGTGCATATAGTGGATGAAGTTGTGGTCTAAAATAGCAAGATAAGTGAGTTACTGTCAGAGCCTTTCCTTGCCGCTTGGTCAAGTAGACAAGTTAGATTGGTGTAGAATATGCGATGGTATACGCAATGGACAAATAGATAGACGAGTGATCCAAAGGAGGTATACGCAGGGAGACCTAAACAACCAAGAAAATGTATACTTGTAAGTACTGGCGAAGCGATGTAGTTAGATCGTACATGAACAAAAATACAGGATAGCAGATGGAGAGGAGAGGATAAAGACGAATGGGATCTCTAGAAGATAGAAGAGAGCAAGTGATTAAGAAATTTCACTCGCGTGCGTGATGCTCACAAAGTAGCATTCGTCTTCATGATGTAGAATTCGGTGGCTTCGTCCTCCGTTCTCCAAAGCCCTTCGCACCCTGACTTCCCGCAGCTTCGCTCGGGCCTCTGGGTTCACGTACCACTTTGGCTGCTGCAGGCTGTATACTCGGCATAGGCGACTTTGACTTCCGGCCCGCGCCATCCCCATCTCCGTCACCCTCCTTTGCCGCGGACGAAGCACCAAAGATCCGCTCCCTTGCCTCTTGATATCTCCTCTCCCTTTCTTGAAGGGTCTCCTTTCCCGCACCGGGCGGAGGCGTTGTAGGTGCAGACCCGCCGGGAGAGTTCGATGGGCGTTTAAGGATCCGCATAGTGGGTTGGAACACGCTGGGTGGAGGTGGTGCTGATGAATGGGACGAGGTGGAGGTCGGCGATAGGAGGACAAAGGGCATGGGATGCGAGGAGTGCGTGTTACTGGTTTAAAACAAAAAATGATCAGTCGCTGAGGACGAGAGGAAGGCGATGAAAGGTAACCCACGCGTCCTCCCATATCCGCTTGTTGTTGTCAGTGGATGGACGTGGAGGGAAGGCCTCCTCAGCTTCGTCGTCGTCATTTTCCCAGTCGTCACGTACGGGATCTGTGGTGCGTGCTGGTGGGCGGGTTGTCTACATGAGGATTGTGAGATAGGCGCAACAGTAAGCTGAGCTAGTACCTACAGAGGACGAGAACGCCGAAGAGGATAACGGCGTGTCCCATGGATCTACACCGCGCGACGATGATGAACCAGACGACGACGGGAGAGCAGACGTAGCCATCGAGCTGATCAAGCGACCGTGCTGTAAAAGTGAAAGCAGGTCAAGATTGATATTTGTAGGCGCTGACTAATCGATAATGATGAGATCCGCGCGTTATCTTATCTTGCGTCGTCCAATTCGAGCACACACTGATCTTCCTCTCCCACTCACCATCGACGACGACGAAGCCATGCCCGCCCCAGCTGAGTTCATCAAGTTTATCGACTCTAACGCAGACGCGTTCATTCAGCGTCTTTCTGATGCTGTCGCCATCCCCAGGTGCGTCGTCTTCGATGTTCTATTACATTCAGAGCTAACGCTAGACTCAATAGCATCTCAGGCGATGCCTCACACCGACAAGACGTGTTCAAAATGGCTGAATGGCTGAACGCGCACCTCAAAGCCGTAGGAGTAGACACACAGCTAGTAGATCTCGGGAAGCACACCATGGATGGCGAGGAGCTACCTCTCCCGCCTGCGATCCTCGGTCGTATTGGCGACGACAAGGACAAGAAGACCGTATTAATCTACGGGCATTTTGACGTTCAACCTGTACGTTCATATCTTCTCTTTTCAATTTATTCAATAACACATTTACTAGGCAAACAAATCCGACGGTTGGGACACCGACCCCTTCGCTCTCACCATCCTCCCAGATGGCAAACTCGTCGGCCGCGGTTCATCAGACGACAAAGGCCCCATCCTCGGGTGGCTCAATGTCCTCCAATACCATTTCCAATCCAACAAACCGCTCCCCGTCAACCTCCGTTTATGCTTCGAGGGCATGGAAGAGAGCGGCAGCGAGGGACTAGACGAGCTCGTCGAAAAGGAGAGCAAGAAGGGAGGATATTTTGATGGTGTGGAATGTGTTTGCATCGTGAGTGCATATTACTTCCTTCTTTACAATTACTCACTCGTTTTGTGCAGTCGGATAACTACTGGCTGAACACACGCACACCCGCACTCACCTATGGCCTGCGTGGGCTCACCTACTTTAAGCTCACCGTCTCTGGCCCCGCTCGCGATTTGCATTCAGGCGTGTTCGGACGCACCGTGCATGAGCCTATGACCGACCTCATCCATCTCATGGGACGCCTTGTAGACGTCCAGGGAAAGATATTGATCCCCGGCGTAGAGGAGATGGTGGATGTTGCTGGGGATGAGGAGAGGTGCGTTCTGTCCCGCAGATCTCATCCTATTCGCACTCTCTAACCCACTTCTCACAGGGCGATCTACGAATCCCTCGACTACACCACCGCGGACATAGAGCAATCTGCTGGAGCACCCATCGCACTCTCCGCGAACAAGGTAGACGTGCTCATGGGGCGCATGCGCTACCCGTCGCTGTCTCTACACGGAATCGAGGGCGCGTTCAGCGGGGTTGGAGCGAAGACCGTCATTCCAGCAAAGGTGTCGGGCAAGTTTAGTATTCGGTAAGTATTCCGTTAGCAATTCTTCTCTTCTTAATTTTTGTTCCTCTTCTTCTTGAAACTGACGCTGACGCCTCTCACAGCCTCGTCCCTCCCCAAACACCCGACGCTGTCGACCCCATGGTGATTTCATACATCGAGAAGGAATTTGCAAAGCTCAAGAGCAAGAACAAGCTCACAATCGAGAACTTGCATGGCGGCAAACCGTGGGTTGCGGATGTGAACCACTGGAATTTCGAGGCGGCGAAGAAGGCTACGAAGGTGCGTAGCTTTCGTTCTTTCCTTCCTATCCCGCCTTCTACCTCGCGCTTCTTTATTCTCACTCCTTCCAACCTTTGACTGATCCTTATTCCCCTTCTGTTAGGAAATATACCACCAAAACCCTGATCTGACACGCGAAGGCGGGTCCATCCCCGTCACGCTTACCTTTGCTGAGAGCCTCGGTGTGAATGTCCTCTTACTTCCGATGGGTAGAGGGGATGATGGCGCACAGTACGTCTTGGCTCTTTCCTCTTTGAGTACTGGATGGAAACTTATATATGCATATGTAGCTCGACGAACGAGAAGCTGGATAGAGCGAATTTCATCGAGGGGGTGCGTAGCGGTTTCTTGGGTTTCTTCTCTGCTTTCTTAGTTTGCTAATGCGCGGGCTTTCGATAGTCGAAGCTCCTCGGCACCTACCTGTACGAAATCGCTGCAATTGCCAAGTAAAGGAAGACATGGATGTCGGCAGGCGGAAATGAAGGTGGGAGAAGGGGAGAAGAAGTGGGATGACGATACTGGCAAGGAAGGGAAGGGAAGGCAGAGAAAGAAAGAATGACAGTGTGTCATTGTATGATTATTTGATAACCTGATGCTGTAACTGTATCGTAGTTGGCGTTCCTGCGTTCTAAGAGGGAAAGAGGGAGTTTTAACAGGTTGTTGTAAATTCGTCTTCGTAAATTGAGACATTTTGCATATAGAAACAGAGAGAAGACTAAACGACTCCGGGACGAACAGGGCGCTATATGAAATTGTCTATGCGTGGGCGTAAGAGCGTAAAATGTATGCGTTGTAGTATTACGCCAGATTGGGTACGTGAGGTACATGGATAGAGAAGGTGTCGGATGAGGTCTACGATTAAGCGGCGGGAGAGGACCACAGAGGAGGGAAAGGGGAATATGTCTAATTTATGTATGCAAGTATGATCACATACGACAGGATCAGGATCTACTCAGACTCGTTCTTGTGCAGGCCGGCCAATGGTATTAACCTAGAGTAAAACAACGTGTTAGCAAGTGAAAATGCAATGACACAGCAAACACCACTAACCGTGAACCCAATCTTGGTCAATTTCTTTTCATCCACCAACAGCCGTCCATCAAACACGAATGCAGGCTTGTTCATGTGGGCATAGACCTCTTCCCAGTTGATCTCGTTGAATTCCTTCCATTCGGTGGCGATCACGACGGCTTCAGCGTTTTTGCATGCTTCCATGGCAGAGCTACAGATGGTTACTTGCTTTTTGACTAGAGGGGGGTGGAGTGAGTAATGGATGGTTAAGGAAATGAGAAGAGAAGGGAAGAGAAATGAGACGCACTGGTATCAATGGGGGTAAGCGGGGATGCCTCTGCGAGATCGGCCCAGATCTGGTCGTGGGGGACCTGGGGGTCGTAGATGTTGACAAAGGCACGCTCGGACTGGAAGTCCTTGATGAGGGTGATGGCGGCAGACTCGCGGGTGTCGCCAGTGTCGGCCTTGAATGCGAATCCTAAGACGGCGATGCGCTTGCCGGTAATGGTATTGAATAGCGTATCCACGACCCTCTTCGAGAACCTCCTCTTTTGATACTCATTCATATCGACGACTTGCCTCCAGTAGTTCGCGACTTCGGGCAAATGGAGGCTCTCGCTGAGATACACGAGATTGAGGATATCCTTCTGGAAGCAAGATCCACCGAACCCGACGGAGGCTTTAAGGAATTTGGGGCCAATGCGCGAGTCGTACCCAACCGCGTGAGCGACTTCGTCGATGTTGGCGCCAGTGGCTTCGCAGATAGCGGAGAGTGCGTTGATGGAGGAGATACGCTGCGCGAGCATAGCGTTTGCGGCGAGCTTGGAGAGCTCAGAGGACCAGAGGCCAACGGTAAGGATGCGGTCTTTGCTGTGCGGGAGGTTAAGATGTGGATGGGGGATAAAAGAAGAAGAAACTCACGGCACCCAATTTCCGTACACACCTGCGAGAGCAGCGCACGCGTCCAGACCCTCCTGCGTTTGGAGCGAGCCGATGAGGACGCGGTCAGGCTTGAAGAGGTCAGCGATGGCGGTTCCTTCAGCAAGGAATTCGGGGTTGGAGAGGATGTCGAAGCGGCAGTTGGGCTTGGAGTTAGCCTCGAGGATGGTACGCATAGACTCGGCGGTGCGGCATGGCACGGTGGATTTTTCAACAACGATCTTGGAAGAGTTGGCAACTGTCGCGATGCGGCGCGTGGCAAGTTCGACGTAGCTGGATAGGGCAGGTGTTAGATGCTTGGATAAGACACGGATAAGAAAACGAACGCACTTGAGATCAGCAGCAAAACCAGCACCAACACCACTCTTCTTGGTGGGGGTGTTCACGCTGACAAAGATGAGGTCGGCCTCCTCGATGCCCTTATCAACATCGGTGGAGAAGAAGAGGTTGCGACCGCGTGCCGCGCGGACGACCTCATCGAGGCCGGGCTCGTAGATAGGGAGCTGGAAGTCGGGGCTGTTCCACGCATCGACACGAGCTTGATTGAGATCGACAATGGTGACCTTGATGTGCGGGCACTTGAGGGCGATGACGGCGCAGGTAGGACCGCCTGGCTCGCGATTAGTGGGACGGTAGAATTGGGAGACGGGGTATGCTCACCGACGTAGCCAGCACCGACTGGAGGGTAATTGAAGTGTGGTCAGCGATGAAGACGATGGGCAGAACACTTTACTCACTGCAGCAGATCTTTGTTACTTTGATGGGGGCCATTGTATGCGACGTGGAGGGAGAGGAAGAAACGGACGAGACGCGTAAAAAAAGAGGAGGCGAACTTTAGGACGCTTATTTATATTACAATCTAGTACCACTTCGGTTCTAGTTCGCTCGCTTATTCTCCCTGAAAACGTTTCACTGGAATTACACGTTCACAACATCCTTTTATCATCTCTTATAAAACTCTTATCTTCTTCATCGCTGCCCTCAACACGCGCATAACGCCTGCAACGCCTCCTTTCTTACGTTCGACGCGGCCCGGCGGGTGTCTCACTTCTCCCGACCCGCGCACGGGCTCACACACTCCCTTGATCGGAACGCCCTGCGACACAATCTATGCTTTCCAAGCGGCGTCTCCTCGTCGACGCGTCCAACATCGTCATGCACAAGCTCAAGCTCGCTGCGCCATCTCTCAAGCTCTCACCCTTCAAGCTTATCCCGCCCTCTATCACCCACGACGCGCGTCTTTTCGAACCATTCTCGCATCTTTCCATGCCCGTTGCCCAGATTCTCCGGTTGCCTGTGCGACGCACTCAAATAACGCGACGAGCTCGCTCACAAGGACTTCCTCAAAACATCTCCCTAGACATCTTTAATCAACATCATGACAGACGCGATGATCATCTTTCCGCCGCAGCACCTCCTAATCTAAGCGGCCAGTGCGGCGAACCGTGCCCGGGAAAAATGGGTTCCTCAAGAAAAAACGGGCCTTAGATGGCTCGAGATTCAGGAGGTGTCGCTGTCAAAGTTCTAGCATTCTTTGTTTTCTGTACCTCATCGAAGCTCAAATACCCCCAGCACGACTAGCAATGGACGTTCCACCGTCGATCTGGACGCGTTTTACTTCCGCTGGCGACGCGACAAGCACATCTTACCTCTGGCCTTGGGCGCTTGGCATGCCGTCATAGTTAACTGCATCGCAAATGACACGGCTAGATCGCGGAATCGCGATAAATATAGGCGGGGGCGTCGGTATGCATTCCAAGTTCTTCTCAAACTCAAGTTTTCAGAGCACCTCCAGCGCGGTTCTCGTGTATTGCTGCATCTACAGCACCTCCGATAAAATCAATAACCAACTCGACCTCCTAAAACCTTGAGCTTTTACGACCACCATCGACTCGGCGCCTTCCTGACTTCATACTAATTTAATACCAAAATTTAAATCTTCTATCATTTGAGGCTTCGTCTGAAGTTAATGGACATCTTCTTCTATGACCAAGAGCATCTTGCTCAGTCATCAGCTTCATCTTTCAGAATCCTTCTTCAATTCTTGGCATTTACCCAAACGCTCCCGTGGGCCTCACCTTGTACCAAGATTCTTCTGGTAAGCACAAGCTTGTATGTGTATGTCCCATGGCTTAGTTGGTTACGGCGTCCGACTGTTATAGTATAGCAATCACCATGAAAAATTTGACATCGGAAGATCGAGAGTTCAAGTCTCTCTGGGACAGTATATTGTGACGCTTGCATCTTTTTGGACTTGTCTCTGAGGTAGACTCCTAGAGGTCGTCGGATGGGATATCTCAATCATCAGCGGTGTATATCTTTAATCCATGCCAAGGCTGTATCGCTTCTTCGAATTTTCAAATGCAAACACCAAACCTGTAAACTCCTACCCCTAAAACGAATAAACCTTCCTCTAAATTAATTTAACCTGCCCTCATCTACTCGTACCACTCATTGTATTCCTCTGGAATGTCCAGTATGAGAGTCAAGACGAAGCATCAAGCACTAACTGAAATGTTCCAGATTACTCCGGCCACTCATCCTTCCTAAGATATACCTTCGATAGCTCAGTTGGAAGAGCGTGGGACTGTAACTGGTTACTTTGCAATTAATCCCGAGGTCACTGGTTCGATCCCGGTTCGAAGGACTGATACCATTAACAATGTAACTTTTTTTCACTAAATGTTGTGTCTAGTGAAGGCCTGTCAATGGTTAGTAAGTAAGTACTACTTAGTGTTGGTCCCATGACTGCCAACAATAATTTATGCGTGCGTTCAACTTCTGTATTCGTTTGTGAACCAGAAATTCATGAATTCTGAAGCGAAAGGTCCAGAGTGATTGTAATTTCCAAACATTTCCTAAACGGACCAAGAAAGCTGTAAAGCGCCCACTATTCGTCCTTGAAGAAGGTTTCAATGAGATAGTATCCAGAAGAGGTCGGTGGTTACATTTACGATCCTACAGCCTTCGAAGTTCGAATTCTACCGTGATTTAATTCCTATTTGCTCCATTATTCGTCAGAGGCTTCCACCACGCTCAGATAAGAGAACATGCCGCTGAAACTGGGCACATATGATTCATCCCCCAAGGTGACTGATCGCAGAGATAGCTATCTTCATTGCCTAGTGTTGTTGTTGCACAGGTATTATATATGCGCAAAGCTCTTCTCTAGTTCAAGTTTTACATAACCATCAACGATGAGTTGGTTTTCAACTTCAATCAACCAGAATATTCATTAGTAATTATACGATGTAGGAATAGTAACCCGAGACTACCTCCCACCTCCCCTCCCTTGTCCCCTTCCACCTGTACCTCGCGGCGGAGTGAATACACGCCGACTAGAAAATAATGCTGTGGACAGCGGGGATTTGTAGGCGCCTGGAAGATCCGATCCCTGCGAAGGGGTGGAAGATGCTGGTTCGCTTGGTGATATTAGAAGTGGGGATGGCGAGGGTGATGATCGCGACGAAGACGATGAGGATGGTGACGTACCAGTACTTGAGAGGTACTGTTTACGAGAGGAAGAAGGGGATAATAGTGAAGGATCCCTTCGACGGGTGGGGTATTCGGTTTCATGCGGAGGATGAGGACTGAAGTCAGACTGAGGGTAGGAGGGTTCAGGTTGTGAATTGGATCGTGGTTCGCGGTAAGGATAGCCGAGGCGAAAGCTGGGGTAACGCTGGTCTCGTGTGTTGATCTCTTGTCCGAGACGAGAGTACGGTTCGCGTTGATGAGTATAGTGCGATTGACGGGGCGAGCGAGAAGAGGCTTCATGTTGGTGACGAGAGTAAGGTTCAAGCTCAGTGCGAGCCGAAAATATACGCTGTGATCCTGAAGAAGACGATTCGCGTTGGAAACTAGAAGACGGTTCACCCCGAGGTGAATGCTCTTGCCCGACCTGGTCCATAGAACGAACGGAAGTTTCGGTTCGCGAACTAGAGTTGCGCTGAGCTCGAGTAGAGATAGATGGCGAATAAATACTGCTATATTCGTAAGTCTCGTCATCCCAAGAGACATTACTAGATGGGCTGTCCAGCACCGAATCAGGACCCTCTACGATCATCGTATTCAGATCTTGCAATAGTTGCGTCCTCCTAACTTTGGCATCAACCTGACGCTTGTTAATGCCAGGTCGTAGCTTGTCAACATCGTGCTGTGGCTTGTCAACGCCGCGTTGCTGCTGCAAGGCGGTCTTGGCCCACTCCTGCTCAAGCTCGACACCACGACCCCAGAGCTTTTTCAGGCCTCTACGCAGAACCATCACAAGCTCAGGATAGGGCATGCGGTAGATGGCGAGAGTAGGAAAGAATATATACGTCCATCCTACGTGAATATTGTTGGACTGGACAATAAGTAAACAGACGAAAGAACGCACCTGGCAAGATCCAGTGAGCACCCTCCTGTTTCGCCTCATCCTCATCTCCATAGAGAATGGGCTTTTTCTTTCCTTTCTTATCCTGGGTTTCCTTTTCCCGCACAGACGATGGATCAAAATCCGTCGCTCCCCTCGTAACAATCATCAGCAGTGCAGCCTTTATACGTCTGGTAATCCCCGCGCGCACCACCCTCACTTTGCTTGTCCTCTTCTTGCTCGTTGCGTTCAGATACGACATCGGAACATGCATCTTCTTCTGTGCCGGTGGAGTAAGCACTAGTGGGGCGAGAGTACCGGGTCCGAGAGGGTTCTTGAGGTCTTCCTCCGGGTTAGTCTGGAATTGTCGTGTCTTCGTTTGCTTTTCTATGCTATCCAGTCCACCAGGCAGCAACTGCGCGATCTCGATGCGTTTGGTCCATGCAATATCTGCTGGCTTTCCCTGCCCAGGCTTGTCCCATGGGTTCTCTGGTATCCCTAGCAGTGCGAGGGGGAAGGCGCGGATGTCGAGCGCGGCATCGTGGTAGAAAGGAAAGGAAGAGCGCGGTAACTTGAGTGCAGGGTGTGTCGCGTCAATGATATCTGTTTGAAGGCTTGTGTTTGTTGCATTCGAGAGATTGCGAACAGAAGGACGAACCAGTACGAGGAATGCCTTTCGGCGCGAGGAGCTTTTGCGGAGATCCGGGGGTTTGATTCTTGAACTATATAAATAGTATTTATTCAACTGGTCCTTCTAATGAATTCAAATCTCACTGTAATTGCTTTAAAGCGCGGAGCTGGCGGCAGTCTGGATAGGTTAAGCCTGCATTTTGGCATATGAGTTGCGTGAAGCGGCCGCTGCTGACTTTTGTTGCAGGAGGACGACAGTACATGTTTGGTTTAAACGTGCATTGCAAATATCGCGTATTGTGCTTGCCTAGCTCCTGTAAAATAAATAGCTACCTCAGTGACTGGCGCGCACCTCTGCACGTCTGTACACCATTGTAACGGAAGCCTTCCACGCCTTCGATAGCTCAGTTGGAAGAGCGTGGGACTGTAACTGGTTACTTGCGATCATCCCAAGGTCACTGGTTCGACCCCGGTTCGAAGGACTGCCACTGCTTTAGGTAGTTTATTTTTGTCAATTGCGCAATTCGAAACTATCTGGATTCTGGATTATAAACATACCCAATGCAGTTGGTCAGTGCTTCGACGTTTGTCCTTTTTCTTGGGACTTGGAGAGAGACGCTCTGCTAACCGCCGAGTCACGCTTCAGCGTTCAGAATAGCGCCCAGTGCTGAACAATGATGGGAAAATCACTGGAACGTCACATCCTAGAATCATATGCGCAGCTTGAAAAGCTGTATGTTCACAGCTATCCGTTCAACACTCCTTTCAACGCTCGTCACGACCGCCGCGAACTTTTTTTCGCGTCATATACAGCCTTCCAGATCATTTCCACCTAGAGTCGGACAACCGCTCTCCACTACAGATATGCCTGGAACTGTCCCTCTTGATGTCCAAGCCTTGCCACCGGAGAATAGTGAGTCTGATGATGGAGACACTCCTATCAATCCGCCAGTAGTCCCCTTCGAGCTCATCGAAAACATTATCGATTATTTACACGGTGATCCACGCACGCTAAAAGAATGCGCGCTAGTATGTTCCAGTTGGGTCGTACCTAGCCGTTATCATCTCTTTAGGTCTTGGAATATCTCTGCGTCGTCTTTTAATAACACCATTCGCGCCACATTTGATTTGACGGACAGAGAAGACAATGATAAACACACCATCGTAATGTCTTCCATCCGCCATCTCACTATCCGCGACAAGGGAACTTCCGGCGGGTGCGACGAGGTATTTCGTGATTGTATCGTGATCTGTACAGAAAATTTCCGCTCTGTTACGAAGTTGACGCTTACTGAAATCCCTTACTTGGCTGGAGGATGTGGCTGGTGTACCCTTCGGGAAATGGTAGCACCCAACGGATTCTTCAGCAGTATCACTACTCTTGAAATATTCAGTCTCTATATATTTGCCTTCGAGGATATCTTCGATATCATTTCTGACTTCCCGGCTCTTCGCGACCTCCGTTATCGCTCATATTGCGGAGTCCGTGAAGAGAAATTGACACCTCGTACGGGAAGTCCTCCAGTGGGTCTAACAACCTTGGAAATAGGCTATAATAACGAATGCCTTCCTCCCGCAAAGTTCGGCTCCATTGATCACTGTTTTACCCAGCCGCTCTTCAACTGGCTCATTTCCGGAAATTTTCATTCCATGGAAGTTATTAAGTTAGGAAATGTCACAAGCACAGATTGGAAGGCTATTGGAAAATATCTGGCACTGCTGGGGCCCTCTCTTAAATGCCTTGGAGTCGAGCTCGACAGCTATAACACATGGATGGGTTAGCTATATCTTTTGAAATGATATCGAACCTCTAACTCATTGTTCTCATTAGATATAATTTTAGCACACACCAACCTCGATATAAATACACAAATTACACGCATCGAACTTCGCAGATTTTTGGATTTTGAAGGCAACAAATTCAATAAAGGAAGGCTATTGAAAATCATTCCATTCCTCGAAAGACTGGCACGGAATTCACTTTCACAGATCGTTTTCTTTGTCCGACTAGAATGGACTCATTTACATGACGTAGCGGAATATACAGTGTCTTACGACGAACTTTGGAGAAATATCGACAGCCATTTGGCTGGAGGTGAATATCCGGAACTGAAGAAGTTGGAATTTCATATATATATTCCCCTCGACGATAGGAGTCGCATTCAAGAACATATCCAGTCGAGATTTGTAAGTTGTTCAAGACGTGAAATCAGCCTCTCCTTCATCTGGCATTAGTCTCATATT